TATATATATATATATATATATATATATATATGTATATATATATATATATATATATTTATCAGCAAGAAACAACCAAACTAATTTGTCTAAAACGAGAAATTCCAATTAGTGCATGACGAAAAACATACTTAGTTACTACCAACAGATCAGCAGGTCTGGCACTGCTTCCCACTACCAACCACTGAACACAGAATCACATCCACAGACATAGGTGCAGTAGAAGAGAGAAGAAAATAACCCTGAACAACACAGACTAAGGACATCAAAGAGTCATTTAGGCAACAGGGTCTATCCCACTGCAATAAGACAATAATTTAAAAAACTGGAAGAAAAGCTGGAAACTACCCCATCCCTCCACCGGTCACTATCCAAATGTGAAAGGAAATTCTTATAATGGTCCAGACTTTTTCTTTTTTTTTGTATTCTGTTTCTGATCCCTACTCATCATAAACCATGACCATCATGCTTCATGAATGGGACAAACATTTTTTTTATTTTTATGCCAAGTTAAGTTAATAAAGGTAGATCAAGCATCAAGCTAAATAAGGTTTGCATTTAAAGATAGATTATGAGCTTTATTATAATCAGAAGCTTTGGATATAGACTTTTAAATATGATGTAATTTTTTTTACATCATATTTATTTTTCCTTTCACTGTTTACACTTATACATTAGATATGTTTTCCTTTGTTTTCTGATTTGTTTTTGGGAAGAGAGGATGTCATCCTACAAAGGGAATATAAATTATATAGATAAAGTTAGCCTTACCTCACCTGTTGTATCTTTGATTTCTATTTAATTTAATAAAGCTAACTTCATTGTGAGCAATCCAAAACTCTCAGTATGCCTGTAAGGTTTCTAGTTTGATTCTTTCAAAAATTATTGCGTGTGCTCTAAATTAAGATTTTTTTTCCTAAATAATTTCCTTATCTTTTTATATTTTACCTCATACATGCTTCAGCAATTAATATTTTATCATCCTTTCTTGTATTTTCATATAAAAGCAACTATGGAATATTTCGTTTTTTTAAAGGTAGAGTAGGGGATGTTCTTTTTCTGGGTGGATCAACAAAATAAGTTGTCCTCCTACCTGCCAAACATTCTGGTGATAAGTTTACGTAAGGCCGTCTTACGTGCTCATCCCCATTTTCAATTACTGGTGGTGAGTCTGACATAGTGAAAAAATGGAAAATCTTCTTTTGGAAAGTAAGCTTTTATGAGCAATGAAAACAGAAACTATTCAACATGCACGCATTTAATAGGCATTTCCTCTCGGGAGTGGGTACATGGTTGTGAATCTGCATTTTTTTTTTTTTTTTAAGTGGAGGGTGGGTCTTTTCAAAAATTTGCGAAAATCTTACACAATACCTTTAAGTATTTATTCCTTTCTGGCTTGTGAGTGCAGAAAAACAGGAAGTCCATGTCTCCTGCGATATTACCTCAAATGCCATCACGACTATACAACTCTAAGCATTAATAACTATTCTTTTAAATCAAGTGAGATATATGCTGTTAAAAAAAAAATCTTAGTCACCTATCTGAGACCAGATACAAACTCAATAGGCTGCAGGTATGGAGGAGGAGATCTACAGTATGTTTCTATACCATGGACTGCATTCAGTCTATATTTAGGGAAATGTTTGCTTGTCTTGTGAAGTGGCTTTAGATAACATTTAGAGTGAATAGCTGATGTAAATTAAGTAAATTGAAAACTATTTAAATCAATTAACTTTCATATTTAAATGTGGCCTTGAAGAAACTGCTTTCTTATCAAGCTGCTTATTGTTCTGTGAAAGCCTGAATTTGACTCATGATCCATCGCACCCCAGAGTCCGACAGGTTCACAGATTCTTAGAAATGACTTTGGTTACCGTATTAATAATGTAATAAAATGTATGTTACAAATTCATGAATGTTCTAGCTCCTTAGATTGATCCACACGAAATGTTTGGATGAATATCTCCTTGTTTATCACCCCATAGGAAGCTAGTATTTAATTATGCTTTGCCACTCTGGGAATATGTCAAAATGTTTGACCTTTAAGAAGTTAGTTACTTATCTAAATGACAATATATACAGTTCTTCAAGTTTTCATGAGCTCCACAGGGTTCTTGTGAATAGCATTGCTATTAAACATTTGAAAAACATTTAGTTATCTTTAACTTATTATATACTAGCACAGTGATGATTTCTATACTTGACCTTACTATGCGAGTCATAGGTTTTTTTCTTGTTGTTTCTACATGAGTTTCATTGCCGGTCATTGTGTCCAAGACCATACACTTATCAGCTACAAAGGGTGCAGCTGACAGCTTCAGGCGGCTCATTGTATGATTTTAAACAGCTGGAAACAAGCCAGCCCACCTCTTTGAGAGTAATGTTGACTGTATCCTCTCAATGAATGCAAAAAAGCTGCACATAATCACCAAAACCAACCAGATATCATCCTTTTTATTGTAAAGGAATGTATCAGAATGTGCCACTTTGTTTGATAGGTTGAACCTGATCAGTGAGAAGCTGGATTGTATGTATTGTAGAGACAAAGTTCTGAACGAACAAGTGGGCTTTTGCAACCGGAAGTTTATCAGGTGTCTATCTCTCATTAGATGTAGGTATGCCTTGCATTTAGGAGGTCTCAAGGGTGTTGCAGCTTCGCCCTGCTGATGGTGTTAGGTTACCTTAGAGTGTTGTGGCTCAGATTAACCATCAAACTCTTGGTTGAAAGCCAGAAGCCCCTGTCCCATGAGGATTGGCCCTCTGAGATTAGGGTTGAGATTCAGTTGAGTGACGGCAGGGGATTAAAAAAGAGGCCCTGCTGACTGACTGCTGTGGGTATGGAAGCAGTCTTTACACACCTGTGCCTGTATTCTTTGTGCATGTCAGCTCGTTTATTCAGAGTCTTAACCCTGAATCCACAAGGAAAACTAAACCATGAATTGATTGAGTCAACACTGACTTGTGGGCCAAGACACCTTAATGTGTAGTTTTTGTGACATTCCATTATAGGCGCTCTATCACCTGTACTGTTGATACATTTTTGGTGTTTGAGATCTGATGGTTTAGAAAAACCTAGATGTAAATATCAGGCCATCGTAAGCTACAGTAATGGTAATGGATCTTTGGAAGATTAAGGTTACACAATGAGGGAAATTTGTGGATACTGCTTAGTAGGCTGTTGGCACATGTTGAACTATGTAATTGAAGTGTTATCTGGTGTTGAGATCAACTGACCAGATTAAAGCATTCAGAAATAGGATTGTAGCAGTTTATGAGTCTGGTAATGGATTGAGTAGATTTCAGGAGAATTTGAAATCAGCCATTATGCTAAATGGACAACACTTCCAAAATGTCCAATTTGGCTGTAAAAACCAGAGAAACCTTGAAAGCATTAAAACTTTAAAATATCATCCAGGAACCCACAGCAGACCCTTGGTAAATAGAAAACTGCATGCCAGCACAATCACACAGAAGAGAGAGAAATACTGTAAGTGAAACTTTGCTACTGGGAGGGCAGGAGTTTGAGATCTTTAAGAGAACAACTTGCTAGTTTCTGGTCAGTATAACCAGACCATAACTGTATGCAAAACGGTCCTAAATGAAAGAAAATAAAAAAGACAATTTAGACCAAAGAACCTTCCAGATCCAGATTTTCATTTAAATTGAAGCATTTTGCTGACGCATCTAAAGAACATTTGGAATGGTAGTTTTGGAGAAGCTGCTGCACCCTACAGTAAATGCACCAGGGAGCGTTATCACAGATCCTTCCTCCCAGCAGCTCTAAGACTTTATTACCATCACTGTTCCCAACAACCTCAATAAGTTGTTACAGTCATGCTGATTTCTGCACAGTTTGTCCAATGTTGCTGCTATTTTTCACATATCCATTATGATTTTTTTTATTCTCCAGATACAGAGTTTGTATATTGTAAAAACACTGTGTAGTAAAATACTCTATTTGTTTTAATTTCCTATCTGTTATTTTTATACTCTTTCTAAGGTGCACATTGTGTTACAACTTTAACTATAACCTTTTGCTGCTGTAAACAATTTTCCCATTGTGGGACATTAAAGGGATTTTCTATTCTATTCTGTATTTTCTACTAGGTAGCTCGTACCATGGTAGAACTACTTAGATCAGGTGTTTGAACCCCTTGTTTTCAACTGTTTTGAACAGACCTGTATCTTTTGAGAGATAAAAAGCAACCCCTTATGTTTCCTTTTATTAGCCTTGTTTGTCTTCTCATATGGAGGGCCTTTATCTAATATCCGCGTTAATGATGTCTGTTTGGGTCCACCGAATGCCTCTGGCTGCAATGCTGCTCACTGTTCGGCTCTCAGTGTACTGTTTCAGGTGCTTTCTCTTCAAGTAATTAAACAAATTCACTGTGTTGCCATTTTTACATGCAAACCTGGTTTGAACAAACTTTGCAAATGAGTTTTGTTTGCGCCTTGTCATTTGGGGAAAAGCCAAACAAGTTCTATATACTAGAAGTAGTTTTTTGTCTTGCGACCCACTCCTCCGTTTGGTTTTTCAGCCATGGCTCTCCATGTGGCTACTGCTGCACACATAAACAAGGAGTAATTCGCTATGACTGGTAGGTCAGGTCGACTACATAATACATCAGGTGCGTTGGTGGAATTTATAGAAGGTAAC